CGTCGAGGGATCGTTCGGCGACGGGGAGAGGCCAGAGGTTGATCAGACCCCTATAGCCTTCTTAAGGTACACGCTGGGTCCGATCGCTTAGAGGTCTTCACAAGACGTGACGTCCTCCTCCTCCTGATAGTTGTGGAGTCCTCCAACTTGGGCGAAACCGCTCAAGCCTCTTATACGGCTAGCAAGCCAATCGCTAGCCGCCACGTGGGAATAATTTAGAACTGGCCAATAGTGGGACACAAATTTGCATGCGGGTGGCGGGAACTCCTTTGCACCGTGCATTTCTCTTTGCAACGAAGAAATGCACCCTGCAAAGAAAGCTCCGAGTGGCGGGAAATAATTTAGCAGTGCCGAAGCGCGCACACACAAAATCACACCCTTGGGTTGTGACACATGTATAAACAACATTGAGTTGATGTTTCCCTCACTTAAGACTAAAACGTAGTTTTAAAACTTTACAAAATTTTAAGAAATGAAACATTTCTTTAAAAAAATCTTAATGGTGAAATCCATTCACTTGCCAATACACAGGAATTCTCTTCAGCTCATGGCTATTTTGTAGAGCTTGGAGAATATGCTAAAAGGACCATGCACACTGAAGGACTCAGTAAGTGAGTTTTTCATTTATCTAATATAGCTTATACAGTAGTGTTATCCTGTAAATGTCATAAGTGGGTCAAGTCCATTCTTTTGAATAGTACCTAGTTTAATTTTGGCCACTGTGCCTGAAATAGCCAGTTCTGGGCATTCCTTTTGACTGCAAGCAATATTTTAACATCCTGGTTAATTCTAGTTTTAAAATTTCCCCTTCACTTACACGTGTACGTATACATATGTACACATTCATGCAGGCATGTTATTTTTTTGTTGCTGTCAAGTTCCAATTCCCTATGCCACTGATTTCTTTAAAATTGCCACCAGCATTTTTAACTTGTTCTAAAAGCTTCTTGTGAGAAATTGTAAGCTCATCTAAGGCATTTTATTTATCACACATAATAAACTGGAAACGTACAAACTGCTGCCACCATATTAAGTAACTGACCACCAGAGTTTTTTCTTGATGCATTATAATAGAAGAGGCAGTTAATGAATTACTACACGCTGAGAAATTTTCCTTACAGTGATTTCATATTGTAATATTGTTAGCCTTCAGGTACACTTAACCTTTTACATAGTATTATGAGGGCCAAACCTTTATTCATGTTATGCAGTACATCATTTCACAAATCGTCTTACAGACAGGCCTTAGGATGGGGTTCATTGCAAAGGAAGGGAGCTAGCTGAATAAAGATGAAATGTGAGCATAGAAGGCTATTACAGCCTCCTGTGTAAAGAGTAAGAGCTCTCTATTTTACCATTGTGGTGTCACGTGCCACCGAAATAAAGTTGTTTCAGTGGTAGTTTTCATTGAAATGCCAGTAAAATGAGTAACATCCTGTAAAACTAGATTTTGAAACCTTCACTTCTGATTATTTGGGTGTATTTGCAAGGAATGCCATTAATTTCAGTGGAAGTATTCATGTAGTAAGTTACTATTTGACTAAGTATTAAAGAACATGCCCCTTGTTGAATTGTTTTTATTGCATAGGAGCTTAATGCTACTATAAATGAAGTATTTTAAAATACTGTGAATTTTGTCAATTTTATGAAGGTAGAGTCACTTCACTGTTTGATTTGCACTTTGAACTTTTTAAAATCATTGTGGTTATATATGCTTTTAGGGACAATAAAAATTAGCTATTTTATTGTGTTTAATACCATAAGTTGCATACATCCAACTTATTCACAAATATTTTTCTTGAGTACAACTACTTTAGGAAAAAAAATGTATTCCATATTTATAATGAATACTTCTGTCTTGCATTTTTAGAAGTTTCCAGTGAGCTAATATAGACAGTGTGTCTATACTATTACTTAAAGATCACCTTTAAAGGTGTTCTAAAATACTTGGTTTGTGTCTTTGTTTTTATAATATACCGAGTGATTATGGTATATTTTATCTGCCTTTAAATGGTTGTGAAAAAATGTTTTCCATTCCCATGTATTAGTGCCATAAAGTAAGTTCTGTTCTTGACTGGGCTGCTCTGTCTCAAGAATTATCACCAACCAGAATTCTTTACTTTATGCTATTGTCTACCTGCAGTGCAATATAAAGTACTATCCTGATCTGAATCATTTCTGTTAAACCTCACATTCTTATGGTCAAGACAGAAAAAATGTTTTAAGCATGTTAAAATTTCATTTTATCTGCAGGTTCAGATCTATGAATTGGAGGAACACAAAATTGAAACATGGAGGGGTAAGAACACTTATTTGCTGAAGTCTGCTAAGGAAACCTACAGTTGTTTCTGGAAAAGAAATTCTTGATCCTATACACAACCTAACTCTTGCTAAAGTGGTTTAATGAAAGCAGGAGATCTAGAGAGTTTGTCTATCTGCTGTTGGTGCTTGTGCTTTTCTTGGGGGTAGGGGTTCCACTTGAAATAATGATCCCGTGGGTGGTGAACTGAAAAGAACCTATATTCAGACAGGCCTTGACAGTAGTTGGGATCCTTTTTATTGCATACTTCAAGATCAGCCTTCCTTTACAAGCTCTGTTTTTGTTTAATTTGATGATAACATCCTAAGCTATAATTAAATGTGGTATGAAGTTGGGAACGACTTATTTTCATGCATCTTGAGGAACTCTTAAATATAAACTCTTTCCAGATCCAGCGCTTTTTTTTAAATAAAGTTCTCCAGTTGATTTAAATATACTGTGTAGAATGTTACAGTTGACTCTGCTCTTTTCATTGTTATTTCCTATATTGTAGTTTTCATTGTAAAAATTTCAAAATTATATATATATTTTTTACAGTACTAGTGTTGGGTTGATTTTGGGGTTAGACATTCCTGTTTTAAATACTGTACTTGCTAGCTGATTTTTCTTGTTCATATATGCTTAGTCTCTAACATTCAGTTTCTAATACTATTATAAAAAATAGTGATTTTATATACTGAAATGTTGTTAGACTGCTCTGTGGTTGACTTCATATTTGGGCATAGCTGAACTTCCTAGACAAATTCTAGCTGTGCGTAGGAATGACCATGTCAATACTGGTCTCTGTCTTCAGAGTTATAACTGTAGATTGTGATGTGTCAAGCAAATCTAAGTCCTCAGAGTGAAAGGAGTATTTTTCCTCAAGTCAGAGGTACTTCATCTACAGAAACCTTTCTTAAGACGAGGTGTAAGTCATCTTATTGCTGTGTTCCACAGAGATACCACAGCCTGAATCAGGTACTGAGGGAGCATGATATGAAACTTCCCACCCTGCAGCAACATACTAATTCAAGGGGAAAAGAAATCCAAGAAAGCTGACTGTACTTTAAGGATGCTGTATTAAAAGCATAGGAGCAAGCTATCCTGCTGAGATGGAAGAATAGGAAGTGCAACAGGAGACAAGTCTGGCTAGACAGAGATCTCCTCAGGGAAACTCGAAAAGGAATCCTACAAACAGTGGAAACTTGGTCATACTTCTAGAGAAGAGTATAAGAGTATCACACGCATGTATAGGGATAAAATCAGGAAGGCCAAGGCATGATTTTAGATTCAACTGACAAGGGACATAAAGCAATAAAAAGGGATTGTTCAAGCATGTCAAAAATAAGAGGAAGACCGAGGAAACTGTAAGTTGCTTATGGAAGGCAAAAGGCAATCAAGTTATGGATAATACAGAAAAGGCTTGAAGTATTTAATGCCTTTTTTACTTAATTCTTCACAAATAAGGTCAGCTACCAGATGAGCAGAACTGGCAACAAAGATGAAGAAGGAGACAAAAAGCCTAGAGTGGTGGCAGAACAGGTTAGGTGTTACTTACAGAAGCTAGATGCTTTCAGGTTGGGAGGCCCAGATGGGGTACTTCCTAGTGTACTGAAGGGATTGCCTGAGGTTGTTTCAGAGTCATTGAGTATCCTGTTTAAGAACTCAAGGGGGTTGGATGAGGTCCTGGATGATTGGAAAAGGGTGAATATAGTAGCCTGTATTGCTGGCTTAAAATGCTTCAGTGGTTCTCAGTTCGGGTGCTGCCATCACCAAAGATGGGTAGAGCTGCCCTAGGGACCTTGTGCACATCCAGATTGGGAAGGACTGTAGCACAACTGTGTGCTCCTGCCTTCATCAGGGTTATCTGATGCACCTAAAGGAAAAAGGAGCACTCAGTCTTGCCAGTCATCTCATACCATGTGCCTCTGTTTCTGGGAAAGGCCATGTAGTATCAGACTGTGAAAGGCTGTGGCAGAACCTGGGTGCTTCTCCCTGTTTTAGAGTTATCAGATAACCCTAATGCAGGCATAGTAGCAACATTGAGGAATTCTGTAAGGAGCTTAAAATCACCATCCATATGGCCTGTGTCGAATCCATTGGCTATACCACCCATTGACACCAAGACTGGTTTGATGAGAGCAACACTGAGATCCAGGTCTTTCTCAACCGGAAGAGAAGGGCTCATTCTGCTTGGCAAAATGACACTTCATCTCAGCAGAAGGAGACATATCAGCTCAAAGCCAAAGCTCAAAGGACGATCTGGGAAATCAAATGTCATTGGCAAGATAAAGCCAAGGAGCTCTAGTTCTCTGCTGACAAAGATGACATGTATAGATTTTTTCCAGGTAACTAAAGCCATGTATGGCCCAATTTTCAATGACCCTGGTTTCCTGCAATCACAGGATTTCCTAGATTTCATATATTGTAAGGACTGGAAGGGACTTCAGGAATGACTCAGCGCTGCTCAGCAACAGTGAATCTATCTAAGCTAGATGGAAAGAGCACTTGGATGCATTCCTGATCTGTGAATAGACTGTGGCTAATACCACCACTGAGTCCATCCCCCAACAACCTGAAAAGGGGATCCTTTGATAACCCTCCTATCCTCGAAGAAGTCTGGTGTGCCATCAAGAACAACAAGGCTACTGGACTGGATGACATATCTGCTGAAGTCTACAAGGCTGGTGGTGAAGAACTGGTACTGAAACTCTATGAATTTGTTCTCTGAATTTGAAACAACAAAGAGATCCCTGGGGACCTGAGGAATGCCAACATCGTAACTACCTTCAAAAAAGGAGTCTGCGTGTGGGAACTATCGAGGTATTGCCCTCCTTTCCACAGCAGGGAAAATCCTCACTTACATCTTGCTGAACTGTCTTCTACCTCTTGCTGAGGATGTCCTGCCAGAATCTCAATGTGGTTTCAGGCCATCCCACTGGACAATTGACATGTTCTTTGCTGCCTCCTGGATCTATGAAAAGCATTGGGAACAACATCAGGACCTGTTATACGCCTTCATGGATGTTACCATGGTCTTTGATTCCATCAATGGTGAAGCCTTGTGGAAAGTACTGGCCAGATTTGGATGCGCTGAAAAGTACGTCACGGTTCTGAAGCTTCTCTATGACCAGATGACAGTGGCCATTCTATGCAGTGGATCAGAGACAGATCCATTTGTCATCCAAACTGGGGTCAATCAAGAATGTGTTGTTGTCCCAACTCTGTTCTCCATTTTTGTTTGACAGTCGTCCTGGTTATCATTAAGGACTGTCTTCCTTCTGGAATGGATATTGACATTCAAGTGGATCCTCAATCTGGATCATTTTATTTTGAAGACCTAAGTACTCAAAACAGCCATCCTTGACCTTCAGTATGCTGATGACTGTGCTATCCATGTGTACACTGAAGAAAATCGCCAGGCCATGCTGGATCCTATTCAATAGAAGCCTGTTGAACTTTGGCCCTTTCTTTTAACATTGGGAAGACTAAAGTTCTCTGTCAGCTGATTCCAGGCCATGAATGTGACCCCACCCTGACCCACAAAATTACCATCAAGGGAAAGACCCTTGGAGGTACTTGAACACTTCCCCTACTTCAGTAACTACCTCTCTCAAAGAGTGAATGTTGAGGAGGAGATCCAGCACAGGATCCGGTGTGCAAGTGCCTCCTTTAGGAAATTGCTTTGACGTGTCTTTTATTCATCACAATCTCCAGAAAGACACCAAGATCCAGGTGTACAATGCAGTCATCATCCCCACTCCCCTTTACAGATGTGAAACATGGGTGACCTACTGTTGTCATCACAAGAGCCTGGAGCAGTATCACCAAGGATGTCTCTGCATCAAATGGGAAAATCACCTGCATTAAATGGGAAAATCACCACACAAATGCCAGTATCCTTGCTGAAACCAGTGGTACCAGCATTGAGTCGGTGATCCTCAAGCTCCAACTTCACTGGCCCTTCACTTCTCATTATGTGTGTGGCTGCCTGACTCTCAACTCCCAAAACAAGTACACTACTCCCAGCTTAGTAATGGCCTGAGATCTTGTGGCATAGGGAAATGCTACAAAGATGCATTGAAGGCATATCTCACGAAAACACATGCAGACATCAAAAGTTGGGAGCAGCTGGCTGCTGACCAACTCCAGTGGCACTGCAACCTCAACTAAGGGACAGCCCAGCCTGCTGCCTACTCTCCCCTGTGGAAAAACCTGCAACTTCTGAAGCCGGGTCGTTGGCTCAAGGATTGGTCTCTTAAATCATCTCAAGACCCATCAGTGAACCGTGGTAGAGATCATACTCAAATCAAGGGATTGCAGATGATGACGATGAATGTAGGCTGGAGTGAGAGGTACATGGCACAGTTCCATCTAACTGCTACAGCAACACCGGTGCCACAGGACCCTTG